ACAACGTCTTCGGTTTATTTCTATTAGCATTGCGACCATCTCTTTTTCTAATTTACAAAATCGGGCTCAATAAAACTCTATATTCTTAAATCTATGCGAGAACTATATCAACTGGCAACTCAATAACCGGAGATCAATCGTCTTCTAGCAAGCCTTCACGCGACAAGTTCAATGATAGAAGAACTTGGGACTCCCTTGCCAACTTTCTCGCAATCCAGACCCGTCACACATCTTATGGCGTTTCTTTCTACAACCAAACAGCAATATTGCCACAAGGATTTTTGGAAAGAGCCGCATGCACAACTCTAACAGTGGCTGACTACCACTGTCCTGCAAAACCGAAAGTTCCCAAATTTGCAGCTCTGAATTTTCACAATCGTACATTTCTACCGTGACCGACTAATTGGTTTCGCTTCAATACTCACACTCACTCGCCCAGATAATCCAATTCGCCGTACCACCGCTTATCACAACAGCATGCTCTCTCAATAGCAACATTCGACGAATCATTCAGAGGCTGCTTCGAATACATACAAGATCCACATCACCGGGATTCTCACTATACAAGATGACTTAATCCTACAACGGACTACGCAAGATTCCGGACTGGGCCAACACATAACTCGAGATCGCAACATCAATTCCGGGTATTAGTAACTTTTTTGGGGCAATCCCTCATATCTTGCAAGCTAAAGGCGCAACACAAGGCCGATCATCATACAGAAGCCGAATACTCCGAGCGATCTGGCAGTCAGCGAAGCTATCGGAGTTAAATCTGGCTTCGTCATCTTTTAGAAGACTTCTCACATTTCGCAAAAATCTCCTACGACATCATATTGTGATATACGTCCGCCATTTGCACTAGCCAACAATCCGTGATATACCATGCGAGAACATAAACAGCATCGACGTGGTACTGTCATTTTAAGGAGATTGATCGATCCAATCATCTAGTCGTTCATCACATATGTACCAATGATATCATCGGCGGACGTGTTCACCAGAACCGTACACTATTCGGTCGTTTTAATTCCTATGTACAATACTAATCACTTGCACACAGTCATTAGTTTGCGTGGGCCTGATAACGATATACAAGAAATCGTCCCTTTCTTGTATATTACCAGACTGCACGTATCAATCGACGTTATGGCTCTTCTTAGTTCTATTTTAGTCTATAAATTCTAATGTTCCGTTTCTATCAAAAATATATAAGCAGCTGTCTATTTTTCCTTTCCCTGTTACGATCTGTGTGCAGCATCTCTCTGATACCACATTCAACACGTACAGGCGGATTGAAGGGTCGGTCTATTTGAAAACGCACCGACCAAAGAAGCGTCTGGAAACGCAAGGTATTGTTATGAGCTTATCTAAAAAACGCGGCCGCGACACGCTTCTCATAGGCCCTCTGGCTACGTTTTCGCGTGTCTTCGCTGTTCGGGCTCGTATTCGAGCTTCGAACACACATTTCGAGC